AAAGGTACGAAGAGGGAAGGAGGGGTGTGGGAGATAGTATTTTGAAAATATAATGAGGTAATTAGATAACACTTATTACTGTTCATATATTATAAATTGAAGTGACGAAAAAATAAAATACAAATTAAAAAAATCACGAGTAAACAAAATAACTAGATTTGGTTTATATTAATAAGAAGAGTATTTGATAATTATATTAAGCCAAGTGAAGATAATAAAAACTAATATTAACAATTTAAAACAAGATTCGTTTTCTCTATCATAGGGGGATAGGGGGTTGGGTGAGGCGGGACGCGGGGAGAAGGGGAGTATATTTCATTGAGGAATAATATGATGGTTAGATTTTTTTAAAGGTAATATCATTTAACCTGTCCAAACAAATCATCACAATCTAAAGTGTTTAGAAATAATACTTCAATATTATTCGCGCATCACGTGGGCACGTACACTAGTTGATACAGAATACAAATACAATTGTGCATTAAATAAATACATAATACAACACAAAATAAATATAAAATAAAACAAATACATTAAATAAATACAAAAAATTATATACATTAAATAAAACAAAAAACAATTCAAAATAAAATACAAAATGCACTTTAGAACAAAATATATTAAATAAATATAAAATACAAAAACAATCAAATAGTTGTATCAGTTTCCAATTCAAATACAAAAACTGTAAAAGAAATACAAGAAATACATGAATAAAATAAATGAATAAAAGTCCATAACATGACTATTCAAACAAACAAATAAATATAAATCAATTAAAAATCAATACCTTTGTCAGTTATGTTACTTGGAACATCACTATGAGGGGCGAGAGGGAGAGAGGAGAAGCTACGAATCGTAATTATTTTAAATTATATTGATTTATCACAAATATATATCACATTTTGTTTTGTTATATAATTTTTCCTTGTTAATTCTGCTTTGACAAGCTTGAAAAACGCACCATAGAAGTACTCACTCAACTTATGTATATAATTGTACTTCTATTTATAATTGTATTTGTTGTTATGTACGTAATGGTATTGTTCCATAGAACTTGTTAAAAGTAATGTAGAAATTAAAATTGGATGCTCCCTATATAATAAAAGTAATCTTTGAGTTCAATTTTATTACAGAACATGTTTATTATAAAATGATAATACAAATTTATGGTTATTTTCAATAGTTTGAAACTTATGAATATAAATCATATATCTTTAAAAAGTCAAATATTTTTCTCAAACACGTGATGAATGACTCAAAACTTTCGTTTAACCAAAAACTTCACCTAAAAATAATTTGCCAAAAAATATTTAGAAATCTCTATAGTCAAATGCTAGCTTAATTCCATTTCCGAGGCTAATACATGATCTTCTTATTTCATTTTCCAAAATTAATTTATAAACATCTAAATTGTCTACTGGTTCATAAGATCAGCGTAGAAGACTTGAACTTGATCATACAAGCTAGCATAAAATAAATCTCATCTTACCAATCTTTTAAGTAACACAAAGCTTTTCTTTAGATTAAATCTCATCATATTTACATGCTTTTTATGATTTGATCAACAATTTCTCTGAATGTTAGTAATCCTTACCCATTGAACAGCCAGCCTCTCTAGAACAAGAATGATTAAATAAGAACATTACTAGATATAATTCAAAGGAAAATAAAAACAAAAACAATCTACGAAAGCTAAGCCTATAATAATAAGGCAGAATTAACGTTCTGTTTATGTTAAATCTGAATTGAAACTTAAATATGAAAACTAAATCTGAAGGCAGAATTTAAGTGCTGAAGTTTAAGACTAATTATGTTATATTGTCAAATCTCTTAAACTAAAAAGTAAATTTAGCCCTTTTGGCACCCATCTTTGCTATGGCCTCCAATTCATAGTCTGGAATCTGTGGTGCAGGAAGGTTCAGTTTCGACCTCTTCCTCATCCCTACATCATTAAATTTGTTCGCGTTCACGTGCAATATGGCAACATCCTGCCTTTGTCACTACAACAAAAACAACTTTTAGCGGCAATAAATATTGACATTAATAAAGAGTGTCAAAGTCTTTACTGAGATTAGTTAAATGTCATTAGAACCAATGTCGCTAAAGGTTTTAGGGACATATACAAACAGTGCTAATTGCTGCTAAAAATACATATTTAGCAGCAATTAAGAATTAATTGCCGCTAATGATCATTTTTGATGTAGTGTGTATATCCTGCTTTCGTAGACGAGCTTCTTCTCTTTTCACCTTCAAGTTCTTCAATGGTAGTTGGAAACTTTACACTAGGAGTGAAGTCTTCTTCTTCATCAGTTACATCATAGAAACTTAGTGAAGGCTTCTTTTCAAAGGGAATTTCGACATTGTAATCAATTGATCTTTTTTTATGATACACATGCATGATCAATTCCTAGTGTATACAAATTGTAATGGTTCAAAACCACGTAAACTCAATTTTCTACCTAAAATTTTAGGGTTTATTTTGGATTTTGATAAATTAAAATTTGTCTTAATCGTTTAAAATTTTCAAAAAAATAGAAAGGAATCTTTATAAATAAGAAACTTTCTATCTTTTTATAGGTATGTATTTAGTATACATAACTATAGTTTGGAAAAATTATCATTCGCAGCTACTTCGATATAAATATAGATGTGCTATTGTTTGTCCCGCAAATTCAATTTGTATCAAAATCCAAAATACATAACATGTCCCGCACATATATGATTCTAGGTAAGGTTCTAGTTATTCTAAAGAGAATGGATTAAACATACTTTAACATCTATTAAAAAATAATTAATCGATCAAACTTAGATTAATTAAAAAAGTACAATAAATATATTATTTACAAAGTTTAGAAAAATATTACTAATATCTATTATAACCAAATATAAATTAGCTTTAAGAAAATGGTAATAGCTTAAAATGTAAAACATATTAACGCAAGTATAAAATCCTAAGGAAATGAAGTAAAATCCATCCCAAATTTGAGGAGAGCAATCTGTTTTTTTCCGAAAGGGCTGAATTAGGTTGAACTAATAAATGAATAGATTATTAACCCGTTCAAACTAAAATACATTAGGCAATTTGAGTTTATTTTCCCAAACATAGTTATAACGAGATTTGACCGTAGTGCTCTAAATTCTAGAAATTCTTATTTTTAGGAGGTAATTTACAAAATTTATTAGGTACTATCGATGATACTTATCTATTTATATTTTAAAAAAGAAAATTGGGGGCATGATGCGGAAAAATGGGAAAGAAAGATTATAAATTGGAAAATTGAACTATATAGTGTTTAGAGCTGTCAGGGTTGGTCCAGCCCCACCCGGCCCAAGCCTCGAGGGCCAAGGAATTTGAAGGGCTAGGGCGGGCTGACCCTTCATTTGGAAGGGCCTAAAAATTCTCAACTCAGCCCAACCCTAGAAGGATCGAGCGTTGGGGCAGGCTAGCCCTTCTTTTTTTTTAATTTTCAAACTTATAATTCTATAACATCAAGAAAATGAGAAGATTTTCAAATCAAATATGGCAAACAATGGTGTTGTTTCAATAACACTAGCAAAAAATCTAGTATAATTAGCATGTATTTCACATACCAGATACGCGAGCGAGATAAGAGAGTGACAAGCAAGATGTGTGTGAAGTGAGGGCGCGAGATTTGTCTATGTATCCTAGATACATGCAAATCTACTTGGATAGAGTGTATCTAGAACAAATTAACCTAATTTTGAGTCCATTTATTCCGAGATACATGTATCTAGACGTACCAAAATCTGATAAGATTCATAATATTACAACATAGTGTGTATTTAAGTAATTAGATTATATACTAGTGAGATTATTGTAAGTTACCCTTATATAAAAGTTTTGGCCTATAGGCTGACCCCGGCCTGACCCTAATCAAGTCTCAAGGGCCAAGGGCTTATAAGCCCCAGTTTTAAATGAGCTTGAAAAATTATATCTCAACCCTACCCCAATAACGGGTTGATCGATTGGGCCGGTCCCATTGGCTAAGCCCGCTTTGATGGCACTAATAGTGTTTATAGTTCCAGCCACATTGTTTAGTATTTAGTTATATTTCACACATAATAATATTATTAAATTTAGTTAAATTTCTAATGGAATTCAAACGACTCAGTTAATTGATTTGTCTACTATACAGTTAAAATACAAGGTTCGCTCAACTAATAATTAGATCGTATAATATATGAACCAGTCCTTTAATTTCACTGCAATTGATATCTATGTCCTTTAACTTTGTGTGTATATAATTGGATATTTAAATTTATATAAAGTTGAATAGCTAAACACACACATCCTACATGGCATAATGCAAGTAGGACACCATGTGGGATATGTAAATTGTCACGTAGAACGTATGTGTTTACTTGTTCAATGTTATATTAGTTTAAGTGCTTAATTATCACTACATCAAAAATGATCATTAGCGGCAATTAATTAACGGCAATAGCTCAATTGCCGCTAAATATATATTTTTAGCGGCAATTAACACTCTTTGTATATGTCTCTAAAGCCTTTAGCGACATTGGATCTAATGTCACTTAACTAATGTCGGTAAAGACTTTAGTACTTTTTATTAATGTGTTTATTTATTACCGTTAAAAGTTATTTTTATTATAGTGTATGCACACTCAAAATTTGAAGGAATACATATCAGATAAGACCAAATTTAAAGACATGTTTATGTACTACACCTAATTAGAATCGGGTGTCAATTACGCCCACCTGGACATTGATTGGGCGGTTGCCCCCCAAAAAAACAGTAGTGTCTGAGTAAACTTTTTCTTGTTAGCGTCATGCTCAAATGTCACGTTTATGACGTCAAAATCTAGTCCCAAGTAGCTAGTATTATTACTTGGATAATAAAACAAAAAAGTTAGGATTTTTATTTTTCACAAGTTGTGTTGTTTCCTTTTCAATTGCCTCTTCAATCACCAATAAAATGGACCATTCCTCCCCAACACACAAGCCATCATCACATCTCTTATCCAAACCAACTAGATCGATCAACTAAGTAAAATGGTGAAAGAACATCTTGAGCAAGGCAAAGAATTTGCGGTCCAACTTCAAAGTCTACTTCAACAACCTCTTGCACATCATAATAAATCAGTCTCACCTCATGACCTTATACTTAAAATCTTGACTTGTTTCACTAAGGCTCTCTCTAGCGTAACTGGTTCCAAAGATTTTAGCAGCGAGTTTAGGTTGAAGGACAAGCAAATCGTGAAGAATCGACGAGGTTGCTATGGGAGAAAAAGGTGAGATATAATGAATTTAGAGTTCAAATGCTAATTCGTTTACACAATCAAATCATCTATGATTTGTTTGCAAATAATTTTATTTAATTTATAAGCGTTAATTGCTAATGAATAAAATAAAAAACTACATAGTATAATAGGGTGTTCAAAATTTATTACACTATTAATACTTATAACTTAGATAATTAGTTAAATTACTGATAATATAAAACTTATTGTACATCCTTGATCTACATACGTACTTATACCTTTGCTAGAGAATCAGAAATAGTTGCCAAAAAATAATAATCTAATCGGTATAGTTTATAGTTTTAGTGTATATTATTTAAACTCAACTATAATATAAGATTAATGATAATCAAGCTATTAAAAGTTTAAGTACTCACCATATAGTGTTTGTTGAAGGCATTTAGATTCACCCATTATTAATCGCTAAAAGAAACCACTGCTGAATTTTTACTTTAGGTCAAGTATACTTCAATAGGATGTCAATTCATATTTGATCACATCATTATGAAGTTATACTGTATAGATGAATAAAAATGTATGTATAGATATCATAAGTTGATTTTTCTTAGTTTATTAATTTCTCCATCTCAAAATAATTGTCATTTTAGCAACCAAAAAAAATATTTCAAAATAAGTGTCGTCTTAGAAATTCAAAACAAAAAAAGTACATTTTTTCAACTATACCCTTATATTAAAGAACTACTTCTTCTTTTTAATAGTGCATAATTATCAAGAAACATCTACTCTCTCTGTCCCAATTTATGTGACTTACTTTCCTTTTTAGTCGATTCCAAAAAGAATGACACATTTCTATATTAAGTAACAATTTAACTATAAACTGTCTATTTTACCCTTAATGAAATGATTTACAGCCACACAAAATTCTATCATTCATTTTGGACCACAAGATTTAAAAGTCTTCTTTTCTTTCTTAAACTTCGTGCCGAATCAAACTACCTCACATAAAATGGAACGGAGGAAGTAATAAAAAGGGGTAACTTAATAAACTATACCTTGTATTTATATATTTTTAATTTTGAACCAAATAATTCATTAGTAAAAATTTTAATTGCATCAATAAGCTATGCAGAAAAGCATTAGATTCATGGACGAGAGAGACTACAATAACGGAAGATGGACATGCATGGAGGAAATACGGACAGAAGGTTATACTTAACTCAAAATATCCAAGGTATACATGTACTTATTGAATTGTATGATTACCTAATTATTCTTACTATTTAATTATGTGTTCAACATATTTTATGTATGGATCTGATTCTTTTTGTTAGTCAATCACTAAAACGCAAAATCTATATTATCTAGTTTAATATATATCAATAAACATATTTTTATTTGCTTAATTATATATGTTTTCGATACAACAAAAAGATGGATATGTATATTTTTTACTTTCTACTCTATTAGTTATTAAACAAAATATTACTTTTTTGTTGTTGTGAGGAAAGGTGTTACTATAGGTGCAGTCACAAGTATGATCAAGAGTGCTATGCCACTAAACAAGTTGAGAGAATTAAAGAGGAGGAGCCAATTATTTATCGAACTACATATTTTGGACATCACGTTTGTAAACGTCCACAAATCATGATCACCACTTCACGAGAAGAGTCAAAATTACAACATAGTTGTGATAAATCTTGTGCACTAGATTGGCAGGATTTAATTCCTGATTTTTCTCTTGAAGGTGTGGTTTCATCTTATAATGACTTGAATGGTTTGGATATGGACAACGTAGGTGAATTTGGTGATTTTCACTTTGAGGCATTAGAGTTTTCTTGATTAATTGTTTTGTTCCTAATGGCTTAGCTTGTAACTCATGTTTATGTCCCTTTGTTTTGATTCAATGAAGTGAAAGTTCCATAATCACATTTTTTTTTCATGGTTTTATTTTTTATGATTAATTTACTTGCACAAATTTGAAATGCATGAAGGAAAAAAGAGCAATTAATCGTCACAACTGTAACGACTCGAACCGTCGTTAATTAGGAAAAGTAAAAATTCGGGGACACTGTCCTGCCAGGGCGGGCCAGAGTCGCTAGGGCGGTAGCGCCACAGCGGGGTAAGTAGTCGCCAGGGCGGAATAGGCGAGGCAAAATGTAAATAGCGCGAATCATTATTTCCTTCTTCTTCCTAAAATACCTAAATTAGTCGTAAAACACCCTAGAAACCCCCAAAAGTTGCTCCAAGCTTGGGAAAGATGGAGAGAGAGATTTCTAGCGAAAGGATGTCAACGGCTTGTGGATTTCCAGTCAAGATCACCCTCACGAGTTCCGAAAGCAAGAATCAAAGGCTAAATTTTTGTGCAGCTGCTTGGCGCCCAGGTAGGGTAGGTTTTGTGAATTGAGTAGTTATAAATCTGTGTTTACAGTGTAATGTATGTAAATCAATGGTAGAAATTATGCGTAGGCCTTCGCGCACCAAACGAAATACAATTAAACCCTAGAAAGAAGCCTTAGATGATGAACTAGGGCTAAGTAGGGTTGAATTAATGTCTACATGAGATTCGTCGATGAGTAGTTCATTGGGATGGTTGTGATCTTATAATTGTGTGTTGTGGGTTGCTCTTGCTTCCTTGTGATATGTGTCTTCATGTGAACAAAGCATGTTGATCACACCTAATGTGAACAAGTATGAATGAAGAACTATATGCTATGAATCATCTCTTGTTGTATGATTGTGATAATATACATTGTGATTGTAGATTGGTTGCCACGTTTCGGCATAACTAACTTGGATCGGTTGCCACGTTTTGGCATAACTAACTTGGATCGGTTGCCACGTTTCGTCATAACTAACTTGGATCGATTTTCACGTTTCGGCATAAATATGGGATCGGTTGCCACGTTCCGGCATAATCTTTGGATCAAGTACCACATTCCGGTATGCTAACAGATTGGGTGTGGGTTCCCTGAGAGAACCAATGATTTGACATAATTGTATGCCTTGAAGATTGTGAAATTTTACCTTGTTCGTAATGATAATTGATGTTGTATTTACCGGAATTGTTTAATGGTTATGATAACTTATGCTTGATTGTTATTATATGTTGAGTAACTTGATATGTACCTTGATGTTGGGTGATCCGGAAGGGGAAACATCCAACCGGGATGTGATACAGTAGGTGGGGAGTGAACGTTGCAAGAATTGTTAATGACCGGGTAAAAGGTGTCGTGTGTTGTAATGGCAAAGAGTGGGGGTAGTGTACATAATGTAAGTGTTTAGGCGGATCACTTTGGAAAAAGGGTTTCGTGGGTAGTAGGAAGCTTGATGTAAAGTACTATGTGGCCATGTCTGGGTAATATGAAAAGGTAGTCAGGGTGTGACGTGAGCGGTTAGTTGGGACGTTTGTAGTTGTATTTGGGGAATTTTCTGTGTTAGAATGGTTAAGCTATGATCAAGAACCTAGTAAGTAGGTTGACAGAGAAGGTAGTTGGTAGTAAAAGCACTAGTGTAATTCTGAGGTATTTGAGAAAGGGTAAAGGTGGAGAAGCGATTGTCTTGTTGCATGTTCTTATTAGTTGATTTCTTATGTTATGTGGTGGGCGTCGGGTTGACCGATGATGTATACCAGTACGTGTGTTTTGTACTGATACTACTCTTGCTATGTCTCTTTAACATAGTCTGGATGCAGGTTGGTGATGTTTGATTTGGTGAATACGAAGAAATCTCCAGCAGTTTTTACTTTTCCTTTCGCATGATGGGAGTTGTGTCATTTATTATATTGTCCAGTTTGTACTCTTATTAGCTCTTGTACCTGTTTAGACTAGATCCCTGGGGTGTTTATTTCTTACGAGTCTTAATCTTGAGTCATTTTAAACTATTTTTTTGTACAAAATTGTTATATGAAGTTTCATTTATGTCCGTTTACGTTAATTTTTCCGTATGTTTAAAGTTTGGGATATAAGGGTTATCCTACTTAGTTGTTAAAGTGGGTGCCCGCACGGCCCGGTGGGTTGGATCGTGACAAATTGGTATCAGAGCCCAGGTTACCGATCTCCCAGTACAAGAGCAAAATGTGGACTAGATTCCTGTGGATTGGTGTGTTGACATCCACACCTAATCTTCAGAAAGCTATGAAGCATTCTGGAAAGTTGTCTCATTTTTTCTCTCATTTCGTGCGAGTTTCACTGGTGGTATGAGTTGGGTCCAATTGGTATCTCCCGATTCTAATTGGTATCTCAACGAAGTGAACTAGACGTCGTGGTTACGACTGAAGGGACACAAGCAAAGTTAATTGGAATTGAGAAGGTTCCAATTGGTATCTGGCTTTACGGGCTGTATAAGGCATAGATGATCAATAGTGGTCATCTATGGAAAGAACTAACCAATAAGGTGAAATTGTTGTGATGAGTAGTTTGTAACTGTGAATGTGTGCTTCTAGTTGTTTGAAATAACTGTGAATGTGGAAGTCTTCGTTGGGTGTCTAATTTTACTGATGATATGAAAGTACTATGACTAATGTGGATGACATGATTAAGGACACAATGTTGCGTGTCTGGATTTGATATGCGTAATATGCGGGCGGAATTGTTGAATTATTCAAGTATAACTACTCGAATATCATTAAACCTGTTGAAAGAAGAGGTTTTAACTAAGTTTGGTGTGAGGGTCTAGATAATCTACGAGTGATTCGTAAGATGAAATCTGGACGCGCGTTACGGCCAACTAGTAATCGTGTGATTGTCTGGGTGTATCCTAGGGATGTGTGGGTTGTCGTGCTGAGTTAGTTAGAATGAGTTGGTTCGTGTATCCTGGGGATCGACAATGATTTTTCCTATCTTTGAAATCTATATTAGATTTGTTTAGTAAAGCTGGAACCCTTGGGAAATTTTAGAAAAACAAAAAGAACCCATAAATTAGTAGCCTGGGTTCTGGTTCCGTCTGAGCCGTTGGGGCGGGATTATTCCCGCCATAGAGAGACCGCCAGAGTGGGACAGGGGGAGGCAAAACCTCAGCCCTGCCACCCCAGTTTTTTCCTAGTTACAACTTATCAACCCAAATGGTATCTGGACTAATCCCTGCAATCCAAATCAGTGTTCAGCAATCGAGAATAAATTATAAAGCTTAGCATTTATCAACAGTTGTGTAAAGCAGCTAGAAAATCAGCATCCATATGCTACAAAAACTTAGGAAAACGAGAGATAAAAACAGAGTTGTCCTAAACTTTACAAGCCCAAAAGGAGTGAAAGGAAAACCAAATCAAGAATCCTTGGACTGGGAAGTGTCAATATCGGAGCATAGATCCTCTGGAGGAACCAGGCCGGGAGACGCCTCGTCCATGAAAGTGAAATGTTTAAAGTCCCTCTTCTTGATCTGGGGAAGCTCCTAACCAGGGGCGACGTAAGTGAATATGATCCTCACGGCCTTCCATATTCGGACAGACCATTCCTCCTCTCCTGACGCAGCTCGCGGCGGAGTATCTACACCTTTAGGGCAGTGCTGGGTAGGACCAGAGTGAAGTTAGCAAAGGCACTTTCCATCCTCTTTCGGACAGCCTCTAAATCCTACTCGACCCGTGCATCCGAGAGTAGACCTTCGTCATCTGAATCCACAGCGGCCTTACTATTGCTAGCCCTGCCCGTCCTCCTCCTCTTGCTCCCAGAAGTGGAGCCATGTCTAACCATAAGAGGGTGAAAGTAAAGATCAATAGAAAGTACCTCGTCAGTGTCGATGAGTGGCACTCCCACTCGCTTGCACAACGTAGTAACAAGTCCTGGAAGGAAGAAGGCCTTCTTGTTACCCCTATAGAACGTATTCCACTCTGAGATGATTTGCGCCCCCACATTCAACTCGATGCCTTGTATAGCACACGCCACCACCAAGGCCCGGGAAAAAGTCACGTCGGTGCGATTGCCCGACGGGCGGATCCTCTTAGTAACCAGGTGTAGCCACCTCTTAGCATCCGGTGACAAATTTGTGCTAGTAATGCCCTCTGATGTAGCCCAGTAGACCTGGTCCCGTTTGGATGGATCGATCAGTGTATCCCTTAACCAACCTAGATCCATCTCCCACAACTTGGCCTCGAACTCCGCATTTGAGACCTCGGGTAACTCTAGTACTTCATTAATGGCGGTGGCATTCAAGGGAATGTTGACTCCCCAGAAACAGATGACAGGGTAAGAGTCTTCCCAGTAGACGGTAGGGAGGATGACATAGAGCTACCTCACCCAGGTAGAGCGTGCATCTAGGGGAGCCTCAGTCAGTGGAGAACTCCATCAGGCGAGCATGAAATTCATGTGCCTTCTCCTCTAGCTTGTGCAACATAAACCCTCTCTCACAACAGAACCTTGTGTTCCTCTTATCATGATGCCTTTCCCGACTCGCGACATCGAGAAACCGGATGAAAGGTAAGTTCTTTTCATTTTGACCTGCCATTAGAGAGCCTGCAACAAGTTAAATATAAGTTAGAACATGATATGATAGTCAGTTTAAGGCTAAAATGAGAAGAGGAAAATTTTTGGGTTAAGGGTGCATGCCACTAGTCTGGCGTATCTCACCACAACAGCTATAATGCTGCCAGGGAGGGATTATGAAGGCCGCCTCTGCGGCCTTCATCTGGGACAAACATCAGTCACGAACATAGTGCCTCTTCGACCCAAAACCCTCTAATTCGACAGATTTCCCGCAGATCAGAGTTTATAAATTACCCTAGAACATAAATAAGCAATTATTTCGGTAAAATAACTCCTAAATGAGGCCTAATTGGAGTTTCACACCAAGACACCTTTCAACTTTCCCCACCCATTTTGGTATCAATTTAATCATTATTTTTTTTACGA